TGGGGTCAATCTCTCTACCCTCTTGGTGCCCTTGCCTTGACCTTCAGGAATCGCCTGCTGGAAAGCATTTTATCCTGCCATCATCTTCCCAGGTTCCTGCCCCCGACCTACCCCCAACAGACATCTTGAATCTGGGCTTGAGCAGTCTCCCCCAGTGTCTGAATGGTCAGCCCATCTGTATGCTGGGCTTCCTCTAGCATTGTACTCCAGAGTCCTAGACTTTTTGATGAAAAGTTGTCTTCCAGGTTGAGAGAATGAATCACAGAGAAGGAAAACCCTGAAGAACCGATGGCTCAAAGATCTGTGACTTAGACAATGCTGCCACCCATCGGCCAAAAATAAAAGTACTCCTGGTCTTTTCACGGAGTCTGGAGTGATCTAATGGGACATCTCATGTGGTTTCGGAATGGGCAGTAGCTGCATTGTTATTACCATTATCGCTGGTGCTCCAACAATAAGTTTTTTATATCTATAACATAAGCACAATTACAGCAGGCCTACGAGTCAGAGCTGCCGCAGAAATTGAGGTTCTGGGAATGCTGAGCAGGAAATCAGTTCAGACTTTAAAAAAGGGAGTAAAGGGGGAGAAAGGTCGGACAAAGTGCCCTGATGAGAAAAATAGACAGAGAAAGAGGCAGGTAACCCCAGTAGACTTCCACACACCACACAATGACTGAATGAAGTACATTCACATAAGGAATCTAATTTAATCCCCACTAAAACTGCAAGACTAGCATTTTTGTGCCCATTATTAGAATGGGTAAAGGCCAACAAAGCTACAGATTTGCAAAACCTCACAGGTCAGACAGAGCAGGGCTGGTTTGAACTCAGTTCTGTCTGTCCCATTCCCAAAGTCCCTTCTGATTACATCAGACCAAAACCACCTGTTCTCACTGCTCAAATTGTTCAGGGCAGACACTGAGTCCATAGGATTGTTTTCTTGTTTTAATCACAGTCTCCTGCTGGGGTGTTAAGTAAAGTCAATGTTTTCGGTTTAAAGGTTAAATGTCCAACCGAGGAATGCACACTCTGGGATATCTGGTGCCACGGATTCTCTGTATCCAGAGGGGCTTTTCCCCCCACCCCTTTCCTGCCCCATTTCTCTCTCCCCTATAAAATCCTCTGCCTCACTACAGATACAATAACAGTTTAAAGCTGTGCTATCCAATTCAGTGGCCACTAGCCACAAGTGTCGACTGAGCATTTGAAATGAGGCTGGTCCAAACTGATACATACTGGAGGGGTAAAATACACCAGATTCCTAAGACTTCATACAAAAATAAAAATATAAGATATCTCACTGAAGATTTTTATATTGATTGCATGGTATCATGATAATATTTTTGATCTATCAGGTTAAATAGTTATTGTTAAACTTAATTTCAACTGTTTCTTTTTACTTTTTGATGGTGCTACTAGAAAATTTTAAATTACCTATGTGGAATCTCTGACATTTCTATTGGCTGTACTCATTCAAAGACATGCAAACACGCTTTTGTAAATAAAGACATTTCATACATTAATTAGTACAAGATAAGGGCATGAAACCAAAATCTATTTCTTCCTCAGCTGATAGACAGAAAGCTGCCACCTGATGTTCAATTAAGACAGCTATAATTATTAACCAGGAGTATCACATTGTGCAGAAACTAATGAAGCCTGATTTTTTGTTTGTGTGTCTTACGGGTGACTGACTTGTTCACTAATTATCCCAAAGTTTTCATCCTTCAGATTACATTAATAACAGTGTAATTTAGATATTAGAAGAAGCCTATCACGCTCAACAGAGAACTTCACATTTCTTACATTAAGGAAAGTAGGGTCTATTACTGCTCCCCTCAGAGCTGTGTTCCTAAGGCTGTGGAAACTTCCCATCCCTATTGAGTTCAAAACCTTTAAAGTAGAGGGAAATCTCACCATGAGCAAGACTGGTCATACTTTAAGATTAAAGCAATTCAGTTTCTGAGGCTCCTTCCAGGCTAAGTAGAGTTTCTTGGCAGGTTTTTCTTACCTCATCAAAAACAACCCGGGAAAAAATGGCCTTAGAGAAATCTACAAGCCAATGAACTCCTAAAAATAAGACATATTCAAAGTTCCTAACCAAGAATTTATAGGACCAGTTTAGTCAATGGCTCCCCAGGGTGACAAACCACTGGTCCAAACCAGCAGAAGTTACCTCCTCTGCAGGGCCCTCAGAACAACAGTCACTTGGGACTAGGACACATCAGCAAGCGAAAGGGCGAACAGGAATGCTCCCTGCCAGCTCAAGATTTTTGACAAGGCTCCTCTCGCCTTGGAGCCAGGCTCTATGTCCATGGTGATGCTGAGTTTCCAGACAGGAGAAGGCTGGACTAATTGATTTCTCAAGTTCACCTTCAAAACCAGACTCTGATCCTCCACTCTCCACAGAAAGGAACACACCCAAAAAGTTAAATTGAAATAAAAAAAAATAATAACCTTGGCCTGAGGTCTCCTAGGAGCCCATTTGAACAGTACACAATGCAAACTCAACAGATATCTTCTGCCAGCTCTCCTCAATTTTCTCTGCTATGTGTGATATTTTCCATGGATGAGACCAGAGATGTTGGTTATAAATGATTGTCAGATGTTTAAACAATTTTGTTGCTGAAACATGATAATTTCCAGAAGCCCCTTTTCCAAACACAGTATCTCTTGGTGAGACCCACCACAAAGAAAATGAGTTGTACAAGAAGAATGGCAGAAGATCTGGAAATTAACCAGGAAACTGGACCATAGCATGCCTCAAACAAAACAAAAAATCATTAATAGGAAACAGGCCAGTTTTTAAGGGTCATGGAAAGAATATACACTGGGTTCTCAGCAACTGGCTATGCTTCAAAGTCAGTAACCTCCAACTTGTCAGGGAGGATTGTGGTTAATGCTGCAAAAGACATGTGCTGAAAGGTTTCTAGTTGCCCTTAAATTCCTGAATTTCTACTCAGGATATCATACCACACATGTGCAAAACAGAAAAGTCTGGTAAGTTTTAAATGGATCCTTCTGTAAGTAAACCCAATATATAAAATCTTAACTTATAAAATCAATATATTGGGAGGTAATCACATATCAAAAAAAGATAAACTTCAAACTATTTTTAAGTAAAATTTTTCCTACTCCGATTATTAGGTTGAATCATACAAAATTGCCAAGTTTTGACTGTTTTGACCAAATAAAGCCGAAATCCTGGCAATCTCATGTGGTTCAATGTATACATTTCATTAACAACACAGGTACTAGAAAAATTTAAAGAGAGAACTAGGAATCCCTACTAATTTCAAAGTAACAGAAATGGAGATTTTTTTAAAGTAGTTCCTAAATAACAATCCAAAGTTCCTAAATAACAATCCAAAGTCAACAGGAAAATATTTTGTTCAACATTTTCAATTTTGGTCTACATAATTTTTCAGTAACATACCTATAGCCTGTTTTAATCTGAGTATTACAGGATGTAGTTGGTGATCACTAAGAACCTTGGTAACGAATTTGGCAATGCCTAAAATAATAGTAATAAACTGCACACTTACATATTTTCACATTTATATATTTCCATATTTCAAACTATCTTTGAGATTAGTCTATTAAGCCACGTCCCTAAATCCTTTGTGAAAATGAAACAAAGATGGAAGAGAGAAAAAAAAAAGATGGACTAATATTGATTAACAGAATTTACACAACTGAATGAGGGTTGCTTTCAAAGACATCCCCACGGGGAGCTATCTATCTACTTCTAGGTGGCACTACCACATTGCTCAGAATGTTTGTGGAATTCGTCTTGGAACTGCCTTCAAAACTACGTAAGAAAACCAGTATATTACTTAACAGTCCTATTTCTCCTCCCCTTTAAATTCCAAACTTGGGCCAACCGCTATGAACCTGCTTATTTCACAAACTTAGATCCAAATGCTTTGGGTTATTTGCTAAATACATACATAATTTATTCAAACCCATAAAGCGCACACCAAGAGTGAACCCTAATGTAAATTACGGACTTTGGATGATGATGTAATGTCAGTCAACTGTAACATATGTACCACCCTGGTGAAGAATGTTGCTAATGGGGGAGGCTATGCATGGGTGAAGGCGGGGGGCACATGGGAAATCTCTGCACCTGAATTTTGCTGTGAACCCAAAGCTGCTCTAAAAAAAAAAATCTTACTTTTAAAAAAATTACATAAAAATAAAATTAAAAACCACTCTTGGGAAGGGACATTTGTCTACACTGAGGATATCCAAGAATGCCCGGAGCATGCTTCCCCTTTCCTTTTGTCCCCTTCTCCCCCCTCTTCTCCATCATCAGTATCCTCCACCCTCTGAGAAGAAAAACCAGGTGTGTTATCTATAAACCAAGGCGGTTAGGAAAGAGCGGCTGGGGAAGGTCCCTGGGGGTGGCCAGCCCCAGTCCCACCGAGTGGCTTCGGTATATCCCTTTACTCTTTCCGCGTCTGCTGATGCATCTGAAGGCTGCAGTTTGGCCGGGACTCGAGAGGTGAGCGCTCCACGAAACGAGAAACGCGCCGAGTGCGCGCCAATAACAAGACAGACGTGTAGCAAGCATCAGAGTAACAAGCAGGGAACGCGTTTGGCTCGCGGAAAACGCAGGGAAGTGAGGAGAGAGCTGACCGCCAACGTTTCCAGGGTTTCCTTAAACAATTACAAGGACCCGTAAGTTACAAGTATTTCTCAGGCCCACGTCAAGGCAAGTGGATGTTCGCTTTAAGGCTGACAAATAGGAAGTACTTCAAGGATAAAGGCTAAGAGGTAGAGCTCCCCTCGCGGACCCAGAGAGGCGACGGAGGCCATCGCCTCCCCTCGTCTGGAAAGCGTGAAGGACTTGGGGTCTTGGGACCGGGCTCCAAGGCGCGGCGCTCAACGAGCTCCCCGCTAGCCAGTCCTCCCGGAGCGGAGCCACCACGGCCGCAAACAACAGGACGCCCCGGAATCCGCTCCACAGCCACCGCGATGCCCGCTTGAGCGCTTACCTGCGCGGCCTCCGCGTCCCTTTTATAGACGCGCCGAGAGGCCGTCCAATGAGCTCAGCGCTCTCTGACGCGCTCTCCGTGCCCCACCAATCAGACGCTGCTATGTAGAGCCCGAAGCTGAATGGTCAGACTCCCGGGGGGCGGGGCTGGGGAGAAACAGACGCGGGACGCTGGTGGGCCGCGGCGTAGTGAGGAATGCCCGGACTTCCAGTTAGGGGAGGGCCCCTCAGCCAGGGGTTCGTGTGGGGCGCGGAGAGCGGTTTCTGGGGAACCCAAGCATCTGAGAGCCCCCGGACGGGTGCTGGGATATGGGAAGGGCCCGCGGAGCCCACTCCTGGCTGAGATCGTATACTGCCAGCATTCCAGGAGCCGGCTGCTGGAGGTGCCCGGTTCACCAAGTCTAGGGCTTGTTCCCTGAGACAGGAAAACAGAACAACCCAATAATTAATTAATTATTATAATAATAACAATCGTCCTTGAGAGGGGACAATTACAGCAGGTCAAATGAAAGTCTGTAATTGTGTGGGCTCAGAAGATTTGGGCATGCAGGTGAAGTAAGGTTCTGAGTTGAAGGAGAAAATGCTTGTTGGTTTTTCAGAGGAAGAAAATATTGTCATTAAAAAAGTGAATGCAGCGAAGTGATTCGTATTCTTCAGAGCAGTGAGACCTCCTAGAAGGAACTAGGGTTTCAGGAAGAAAGGTTGGACAAAGATCATGGGGGAGAACAAAGAGGAAAGAAGAGGGAAATATTTGAAGTCTGGAAGAAGAAAGGAACAGCTAAGTCAGTGAAAAAAAAAATAGAAAAAAATGAAAATTCTCTAAGCTTCTGCTCTGTGGGTAGAATGACGTTTCTGGCCCACCCTCAGGATACATGGAAAATTTTTTAAAAATGATAATAATGAAAATGAAAAGCTGCTTACTTGTGGAGAAAGTTGAGGCTGATTGCAATTAGTCCTGCCCCTGAAAATCCAGGAGGTATGCTTGTCAGGCTTAGGGGTTGATTGGACTCAGGCAGAGACCCAACTCCGTAGAGGAAGGACGCATGGATGCCTGAATGCTTAGGAAGGAATTCTCATCCATCAACACTCAGAGTGTGTAAGATACTGTCCTCAAGAAGCTTCAGCAGAACAATCTCAGAATATGGTCAATTCTTTATCAGAATTATTCTAGATTGGCTTCAGTTTCTTTTGTCAAATGCACCTGACACGTGGCATTGTGCTTCTGAGCCAGACCTTGTCCTTTTTCTGAAAGTATACTGTGCTGAGAGGAATACAGTGATGATTTTTTAAAAGCCCTGCATGTGTGACATCATTGTACTTTGCAAATCACTATGCTCCCCCACTCCCTTCTCTTCTGACAGTGTGTCTGGCTGGATGTCCTGTTCTCCCAGACGCTTTGCATCCGTTCCACCAAAGTCACATCCCACGGCTCACATCATTATACTGTTCTTACTTCTTTTCCAAGTTTGTTTCTGGTTTCCACAGAGGCTGTTGTAATTCTGAGCTTGCTATATTTAGAATTACTTTTCCAGGAACGTTATTAGTGAAAGGAAAGGTCTCTCTTTTCCATTATAGAGCTATACCAATGACCTACCTTCTCAGTCTGTCTTATGAAACCAGTGTTACTATAACTATTTTCACGTCCTTGATCAGCTCTGCCCAGTTACTTCTCCATTTGCTCCTTAGGAATTTCTCTTTGTTTCATTTTTTAATGTTTAGAGGCTCAGACCTGTCTTCATTAGGAGTCTAGCATCCTGTTCCTCGTAGAGCTCTGAAATTGGATAGCAGATCGAGGAGTGCTGGAAATAGCAGGCTGGCTCTCTTTAATTTTCTAACTAACATGGCAGCTGTCTAGCTTCTACTACTTCCTCTTTTCGTACAGCTGACCCACCTTACTGATGTTTTAAGTCATTCTATCTGTTAATATTTAGATGAATTCTGTTGCAAGCATTCAAGCCACTTGAGGGTACAAGCAAGACTTAATGTCTAGACCTCAGATCTATTGACCTTAAGATCGCAGTCTCATTGTGTCACATAGACAGGTTGGTGTGTGCTGTTCTTTGATGTCACCTTGTATCCTTCTAAATGGCTCTCTGCCTGCTAAGTCTTGGGAGGAAAGAATTGAATAGGAATTACCTTCCCTAACTCCTGCTCTTCCATTCTTTTTTAAAATGTCAAATATTCTGGACTTCCCCATTTATTCCTTAATCAGTATAGTCTGAGCGTTTGGAAAAGAGGTATCGGAAGAGAACAAAAAGATGAATGGAGAAAGCTGAAGTGAAGGCCTTCTGTCAAAAGCACCTGATCAAGGGACACAGCTGTGTAGGGCAGACTACTCTAGAAACAATAGGGTACCCCGAGGAAGCACCGAAGGTCACAGGCAGATCAGCACTCCGTGTCTTAAACAGAATGTGGGTACGAGGGAGACAGTGCATGCTGGGGGTCATGAGCACAAGCTCCTGGATTTCGATCCCACCTCTGGCACCTACTATCTGGGCAACCCCAAGCAAGTTACTCAGCCTCAGTAAAAGGAGCTAGAATGGAATCAACTTCATAGGGTTGTTGTGAAGATTAAATGGGTCAGTAATATAAGGTGCTTAAAAGAGGACCTGGCTTTGAAAGTGCTGTATGTGTGGGACGCCTGGGTGGCTCAGTCGGTTAAGTGGCTGCCTTCGGCCTGGGTCATGATCCCAGGGTCCTAGGATCAAGTCCCACATCAGGCTCCTTGCTCAGCAGGGAGCCTGCTTCTCCCTCTCTCTCCCTCTCCTTGTGCTCTCTCTGTCAAATAAATAAAATCTTTAAAAAAAAAAAAAAAAAGAAAGAAAGAAAGAAAGAGCTGTATGTGTATGAAGTAACACAATTATCAAGCCATGATCCCAAACCACAGCACTGTGAGCATCTCTGACAGAATTTGGGTATGGACAGTGAGGCATGGCTACTTCTCATACTTCTTTCTTTTGTCAACACCAAATTATCAAACCTTTTAGAATCTCTAAAAGCAAGAAAGAGAGTTTTATTTAACCCCAAGTTAGGACAGCTGCCCAGGAAACACACTCTTCACAGGAAGAAAGTGCTCTGGAGAATGAAGTTTTTAAAGGGTTATGTATACTTTTTACATCTTGTAAAAGCTCAAAAGATTATAGATTAGCATAAAGGCAGGAACTGTGAGTTTTATCATAAAGGAATGCAGGGAGTAGGGGCATTGATCGATATCTCAAGGGCAAGATGGTTTTCCTCTAGGCTACTATTCACAAAGCAGATGTACAATGCATGCATAGCGGGCCATAAATCAGGCTTTGGGTTTGAACAAAGTTTACATACAGTCATGTTGACTGAGAAAGAAATCTAAAACGTCTTCCCATGTATATACCAGGCCTTTAGAGAGTTTTTCTCTCATCACTTTCTTGCCATAGGATGTCCTTGGTGTCCAGCAAGCTTTTGCTTAAACTTCAGGGAAAGCATCAGAATCCGTTTTCATCTCTACTACAGGACAAGGATGGATACGAACTGTCATCACGATGCTGGAAATCCCCCCCACACACAAGTTCCTCTGTGACCCTCTCAGCATCTGCAGCAGCAGCGGAGGAAGAGATGCAGGACTTCGCCATCCGTCCCCCACCCCTCTCCCCCATAGCTGCCAGTATTCCGCGATCAGATCCTTCAGTGTCGCCAAAGACACGATAGGGGCAAAGAAACCAGTGCCCTGAGATCCTGAGATCCTGAGATCCACCACTGAAATTAGGCGCTGCTTCTGGGCACAACCCAAGTGACTTGCAAAGGTGCCGGGTAAAAGGCAATATCTAGAATATCTAGGGAGTGAGAAGGTGGAGCATTTGATGGGAAGTGACAAAGTGGCCACAAGGTGGCACAGAAGGACAAGCGACTCTGTTTTGCAGGAGGGCCCTGACTGCCATCTTTAATGCCCTTGAAAGCTCTCTTTGCAAACACTCCCATCTTTTTCCACATTCCACAATCTGTGGTCTTTTCTCTTTCCCTAGTCCCTCTTTCTTTTCAGAAAGTTTCAGTTTTCATTGTTACGATGGTGTGGGTTCCTTTTCTCCCAGTTGCCCCTGATTGCGGGCCTCTACTTGGCAACCCCCTGCTTTGAAAAGCAAAAGTGGCTCCTCCCACGAATCTGTTAAGTCTCATGTTCCATGGAAGCTGAGCAAGGCAGGTGGCGGGGTTCCACTAGCTTCAGCATTTCACCAGTCAGGCTGGGGGCCGGCAGCGCTGCATGATGAAAGGCTGCTGGCTTGCTTTATCTCACCTTCACAAATGTCCTAAGCGGCGTCACTCTGAGTTTTCCAGATGATAGGATCTTCTACAGAGGACACAGATGGAGGTATTGAAATTGGGACAGCACTACCCAACCACAAGGGTCCTTCTCTCCAAAGCCCTCGGTACTGTCCCTCCTATGAGAAGAGGCAACCTGGACGGTCTCCCCTGTGTCCCAACATGGCACCTCGGACTCCACCTTGGCTGTCCTCCCTGTATCTGGGAGGCTGAGGAGCCCCACAGGAGGATCAGACATCTCAAATGGAGAGTTTCCTTCTTCCCCTGTCTGCCTCAAAATGAAGCCTATTGTAAAAAGTCCTTAGTAGTTCCAGGAGCATGTTAGCCGCCACATCTTTGCTGTCTGCCCCTCTTCAAAAATCAGTTTGTTTGGGCGCCCAGGTGGCTCAGGTGGTTAAACATCTGCCTTTGGCTCAGGTCATGATCCCAGGGTCCTGGGATCGAGCCCCATGTCGGGCTCTCTGCTTGGCAGGAGACTGCTTCTCCTTCTCCCTGACACTCCCCCTGCTTGTACTCTATCAAATAAATTTTTAAAAAATCAGTTTGTTTTAGGGCTGATCCTAAATGAGATTTATTTAGAAAATGCAGCTCACTGGCGTGTAACTAAAAATCCATAAATATGCCCTAAATCAAAATCTAAGGAGATCTCCCACTCTTGGTCCTGCATCAGACAAAAAGTGTCCTCTCTCCTTCCAAGAGGGGAAATAAGATTGGCTAAGTAAGACTAAAACTTTGAGGAGAAGTGGGGAAGAGGAAAGGCATGTTTTGTTTTCT